ATACCATTTTTTAAACATTTTCAACCAAATTTTTTAGTCCAGCATTTGAATGTGGAAATTCAAATTTACGACCTATTGATTGAAAGTATAAATGTCTTTTTCAGTTGAACTAGACAAACTTTATAACAAAACGACAAAATTGGTAAATTTTGAGAAACATATGCTACAATTGTGAAAGATAAATTTTGACACATTTGTATTATTTCATTTTTTAAGACAATTTACTAACCTCAAATTTTAATATTTTTATTATTAAGCCAAATTTATTTATTTCATAATATATATTTTTCAACGACAATTGTGGTATGGGATTTTCAGGAACACCAAAAAGGTGTTATTGGCATCGCACTAGCGTCGGATTGGTATGTTCCATATTCAGATAGTGAAGCCGATAAAAAAGCTACAAGTCGAGCTATTGATTTTTCTCTTGGTTGGTATGTAAATTAATACATGTCCAACTTTATGAGTTCAAATATTCATTTTTTTGGTTTAGTTATTGTCCCATGAATTATATTAAAAAGTTCAAGCTTATAAGTTACGGTAAATTTAATCCATTATAAGATATTTCACATATTGTTTGAATATGGTAGGTTCTTGCATCCACTTGTACATGGAGATTATCCGCCCAGTATGAGAACTCTCGTGAGGGAGAGATTGCCTAAATTTACAAACGAAGACGCTATTTTAATCACAAAATCCTTTGATTTTCTCGGAATGAACTACTACACAGCAAGTTATGCAAAAGACAATCCTAATGCAGTCATTCAAAAGCCAAGCTATTTGACTGATTTTCATACAACTCTTACAGGTTTGTATTTTATCAAAACCTTCAATTTATGACGCTTTGTTTAGGGCCTATTTGATAACACGAATCGTTTATAATTTTATTAAGAAATCTAAGACCTATCTGAACAATCAAAACACGTTTCTTGTTTCTTGTTTCTTGTTCCTTTTCAATTTGTTCCGATATAAATTAAAATATTATTTTATGATTCTTAAATCCACGGGTGTCGGGACCATGAAATTCTAATAAGGAAACAGAAATGAGGAACGAAAATGTTACCAAAAGCGTGATTAATATTCTCACATGGATGAAATATTTAAATATTCTCTAATTTGACTATTATATAATATCTTTGGGATGTGCAGTTGAACGTAATGGAGTTTCAATTGGTCCAAAGGTAATCGATAGTTAATATTATGAGATTTTTCCCTTTGATTAAAAATTTTTAATTATATGTTAACAATCATTTAGGTGGACGCATCATCTTGGCTTGCAGTTTATCCACAAGGATTGAAAGAACTGTTGATATACACGAAGAACAATTATAGAAATCCAATTATCTACATCACAGAAAATGGTATTCATTTTTTATATATAAATCAAACCACAAACAAATGAAAAGAAAAAATATTTAATTCTTCACGTTCTTATTCATTAATTAAATTTTACATCGTAGGATACGTGGACTATGATAGGGCTCAAATCCATGAATTACTCGAGGACAAGGATAGAATCAAATACTTTCATGATCATCTCTACAGTATTCAGGAATCAATCAAGTAAGTAAGGGCTTGTTGATCGAGAATCTAAATTCTGTTTTTTGTTTTCAGATTCACTAAATCAATTAAATTCAATGAATATCTATGTTCAGATTATTCAATTAGTGGAAATTCTGAAAACAACTTTCATATGTTTTCACTGTTTTCAGATTTTGAATTCAAAACTTTAAAAGGTAGAGTTATATTTAAAAAGACAATAACTTTGATAAATACAATATTTCATGTTATTAACACCGTTATAAACTCATTTCATTTTTGTTAATAACATGTAAAATATAATATATTGTAAATTATATAATATTGTAAAATACAAATTTTAACAAAATTTATAACATTTATGTTAAAAAATTAATTAATGATATTTTAGATTAAACTAAATATTTAGTTGGTAACCAAACACTTACCAATATATTACAAAACATCTTGAATTTGTTTTAAATTGAGATTCAATTTTCAAATATTCCACCAAAACACAGTTTTGAAAACAAGGAACACAACCTTATTTTAGTTGAATCCCTTGTTTTCAAATTTGTGTTTTCAGTCACTAACGAAACGCACCCCAACCAAACCAAATAATAAATCTCTCTTTTATATTGCATCCGTTTATTTTAAGGTATTGTCTTCAATAAACTATGTTTTATTTGAAATATTCTAGAAAATATTATATTTACCCTAACCTACCAACTTAATTTTTTTAGTTCATTCGTAATTTAGCATGTTTAATATATTACTAGAGGAGGGAGTCCTATATTCGAAACCCTTGTATTGTCATCTTAAACTGTTGGGTTTAGCGGTGATTTTATGTTTAATAATAGTTTTGTTGCGAGTTCCAGCTCTTTTCAATCAGATTTTTCTTCATGATATTTTAGGATTTCTTTTTAGCCTTTTTTGCTTTTAATTTTTATTTTTATTTTACTATTTGAGCAAAATTTAGTAACCCTTATTGTTAATGGTATTTTGGGAAATGAATATTGTAGGGCTGGTGTAAGAGTAAATGGATTTTTCGCATGGTCATTGTTGGACAACTTTGAATGGTCGAGTGGATATAGCAAGCGTTTTGGTCTCACCTATGTTGACTACAACAACAATTTGGAAAGAATCCCAAAAGACTCAGCAAAATGGTTCCATAATTTCCTTAGAACTTGAAGATCATATTCATTACCCTCCATACCTTCTAAAATATTCCTATACTTCCTAGTACCGATATAAATTGATCTAAGATGAATAGAAAAAAGATCAAGCAAGTTACTAAATGAACTAATTGGTTCTATACTATAAATAAAAATTTGTACATTCCGGGAGGAGTCGGTAGTTGGGCACTGGATCCCTTCGGACCTGGAGAACGTGGGACGCTGGGTCGGGGTTTGGTGAACCAACTCTGTCTCTTATACACATCTCTGGATCCCTTCGGACCTGGAGAACGTGGGACCCTCTTTCGGGGTTACCTACTTGAGGGCTTATAAATAAAAGAAGTTGCATAAATTTGTGTAATGGTTTGTGATATCACAGCGGAGTCAGCAGTTCCTACTGACTTGGTGGCACTCTGTTGTTTGCTTTTGAGCCGATGTGGAAGCTGAATAGGCTGTAATCTCCAGCTCATCTCCAATTGAATTCTTTCTGGATTCTTCTTTGAGTGGGAGCTTGTGAATATCACATGACTTCTGTGTGATACTCTGTGGTAGATTACTTTGTGTAAGAGTGCTTTGAGTGTGATAGAGATATACTCCTTGTACTGATTCAGATGCGATAAGTTAGTGAAATGATCTCAAAGTTGATGTAGATCAAAGTTTCATGATCGAACGATTAAGGTGTGTTTGGAAGTGATGGTAGGATGAGTGATTTTGAAAAAGAGAGTTAAGTATAATTGAGTTTTGAAAATCACCATCTAAGTGATACCTTAAAAATTAATTTAATGTGACTTTAAACTTTCTTAAAATTAATTTTTTTATTTGTCAAATATGATCAATGGAAAGCCGAATGATTTTTATTAATATTCATGGGTTCCACCTCAAAACCAATTAACAAAATAGTTCATGTCTATTATAAACGTATGTAAGGTTCCTTCTTTAATCAATGTAAGATCCTTAACATTCCCTCTCAAGATCGTGGTTCTTTTGGCTCTGGCTGGATCTCATTTTTGGACCGGATACTCGTTTAAGTTTTTTTCTTTTTGGGCTCTAATACCATATTAATATTCATGGGTTCCATCTCAAAACCAATTGAAAATTAGAGGATTAGCTCATGTCTATTGTTATAGGGAACAAAAGCAAGGATTAGACCAGGGAAAAAGCGCACGGGCCAAGTGAGCGTCGGAAAACGTCGACCCTGGCCAACCCAGGTCGACCTCAGCCGACCAGGCACCTTGGCGAGTCTCGATGCCGAGCAGTTCTCCGCCCCCGGCCGAGAACTGTAACGGCTCATCCGACCGTTTCGCGATACCTCCCAATTAGCAATTACACCCGTAACGGGTTTGAAATTGACGAGGATTCACATGGGACTGCTGTAAGATGGACGGAACCCTAGAGGTAAGGGATCCGACTCTTGAGACTCAAATTCTATATCCTTCCACTCTCCTTGCCAACTTAGGCATTGAAGCCCGTGTGACCGGAGTCACACCGGTTTAGGTTTGATTAATTTTGTAGGTTCTTTGACCCCTTCTTATAAGGTTTGGTGCGAACATCGAAAGGAACCAGAAAAGCATAATTCACACATCAACAATTGGCGCCGTCTGTGGGAAACGACACAGTCCAAGCAAATTTAATCCAGATCTTCCGAGGCGAAACCCAGATTTGCTGAGGTGAAACCTAGATCTACTAAGGTGAAACCCAGATCTGTCGAGCCGAAATCCAGATCTGTCGAGACGAAAATCAGATCTGCCGATGTGAAACTCAGATCTGCCGAGCCAAGACCTAGATCTGCCGAGACAAACCCAAGATCAGAGAAGCGCATAATGGAGTAGGTCAACGCGAGCCTAAATGAAGGCTGGCAATATTCTGAAAAAAAGATCCAGACCAGAGCTACCGACCACTCGGGTGAGGCAAGTCCGAGCCCTAGTCATCGACTCAATCCGACCACCCCCAACAGGGGAGAACCGGTTGAGGAGGTAGAATCTGTTCCTCTGATAGCCGATAATCGACGAGTCAATTTTGGAACCAGATTGGATGATGATGAAAGGGAAAGTCTTATAAACTTACTCAGAAGCAACGCCGACGTGTTCGCATGGTCACATGAGGACATGCCAGGAATTGATCGAGAAGTCATGGTACACCGACTCAACGTCGACGAGAGCTGTAAGCCAGTGAAACAGAAGCGACGTGCGTTCAACCAAGAAATGAATGAGATTGTAGCTGAACAGGTGGAAGAGCTACTGAAAGTAGGTTTTACTCGTTAAGTACATTATCCCCAGTGGATATCCAACATAGTGCTAGTAAAAAAGTCAAATGGTAAATGGAAAATGTGTATCGACTTCACAGACCTAAATAAGGCCTGTCCAAAGGATTCCTTCCCCTTACCGCGAATAGACCAACTGGTCGATGCCACTGCGAGACATGAAAGATTGAGTTTCATGGACGCCTACTCCGGGTATAATCAAATCAAGATGCATTTACCGGATAGGAGAAAACCTCATTTGTCACAAGTTGAGGTTTGTACAGCTACATAGTGATGTCGTTTGGATTGAAGAATGCAGGTGCGACCTATCAACGCATGGTAACTCGGATGTTTGCAGCATTAATGGGCAAAAAGATGGAAGTCTACGTGGACGATATGCTGTTAAAGAGTCGAAAAAACAAGCGACATGACGAGGATTTGGCAGAGGCATTTGACATCTTGAAAAAGTACCAGATGAAGCTTACATCTACTAAGTGCACATTCAGGGTAACCTCTGGCAAGTTCCTAGGATTTTTAGTGCACCAAGGAGGAATCGAAGCCAATCCGGATAAGATTAAAGTCGTTTTGCAGATGGATCCACCCAGGAATCTAAAGCAGCTATAGGGACTCAACGGAAGGATAGCGGTACTCAACAGATTTGTTAGCCGCTCAACTGACAATTGCTTGCCGTTCTTCAAAATCCTAAGGAAGAAAGAGCAATTTGAATGGACAGAAGAGTGTGAAGCTGCATTTAAAGAGCTAAAGCAATATTTAGGGGCAGTCCCACTTCCCGCAAAGTCGGTCGCGGGTGATGAACTCTACCTATACATAGCCATATCCGACACTGCAGTGAGTTTCGCGTTGATAAAAGAAGAAGATGGACGACAACCTCCAATTTACTACACAAGTAAAACAATTGTAGATGCGAAGCTTAGATACTCACAAATTGAGAAGTTGGCATTAGCCTTAGTTACTTCAGCTCGGAGACTACATTCGTAATTCCAAGCCCACAGGATAACTGTCCTCACCAATTTTCCCTTATGACAAATTTTGTAGAGGCTAGACACTTCAAGGCGACTGATGAAATGGGCCCTGGAGCTCAGTGAGTACGACATTCACTATAAGCGAAGAACTGCAATTAAATGACAGGCTGTGGCAGACTTCATAGTAGAATTGACACCAGTGGAACCTCAGATATGCAACATCGACCCACAGTTAGTTGAGGGAGAGCAACCTTGGACACTTTACGTAGATGGATCATCAAATTTTCGGGGACGCGGAGCAAGACTTCTATTAGTCTCCCGAGATAAGGAGAGATTCGAGTACGCACTGCAATTCAGTTTCATGCATCCAACAACAAAGCCGAAGCTTTGCTAGCAGGATTAAAGGTGGCCAAGCACATTGGGGTCAAGAACATACTGATATTCAGTGATTCGTAGCTAATTGTGAGTCAGGTAAACGAGGAATTCCAGGCTAGAGAACCACGAATGACAAAATACCTTTCTCGGGTAAAAGACCAGCTCGGCCATTTCTCAAAATATGAGATTCGACAAATTCCTCGTATCAGAACGTCAACGCGGATGCATTAGCTCAACTAGCTGCAGCTTATGAAACCAACCTACGAAGAACTGTGCCGGTCGAAATTTTGCCCGAGCCGAGCATAGAAGCTCAGGAAGTAATGGATATCAACGAACAAAGGCAACCAAAGGAAAACTGGATGAGCCCCTTAATCAAGTACTTGAAAGACGGGATCCTACCTAATGAGAAGACAGAGGCCCAACAATAACAACGACGAGCGGCCAGATATGCGCTTAAAGACAAAAGTCTGTATAAGAGAGGCTACTCACTAGCGCTCCTAAAATGTTTAACGCCTGACGAAGCTGACTATGTCATGAGAGAAATACATGAGGGCATTTGTGGGAACCATTCCGGAGCACGATCCCTAAGTCACAAAATAGTACGACAAGGGTATTATTGGCCGACCATGCTAAACAACACAAGGCAATTCACCAAAAAATGCGACAAATGCGAGCGGTTCGCAACGATACCTAGACAATCGCCAGAACCCTTAACAAACATAATGAGTCTTTGACCCTTTGCTCAATGGGGAATAGACCTTATAGGTTCTCTCCCATTAGGAAAGGGCCAGACCAAGTTTGTAGTAGTGGCAGTCGACTATTTCACCAAATGAGCTTAAACAAAAGCTCTAGCTACTATTACGGAGAAAAAGGTCACCGACTTTATCTGGAAAAATAACATTCGTCGTTTTGGAATACCGTAGACCATTATCAGTGAAAACGAGAAGCAGTTCGACAATGCTGCGTTTCGAGAGTTTTGTAGGGAGTGGGGCATTAAACATATTTGTTCTTCACCAGCGCACCCACAAGCTAATGAGTAGGTTGAAGCAATCAACAAAATCATCAAAAGGACTCTAAAAACCAAATTAGAGAAACTCAAAGGATTCATGGGCAGAAGAACTTCCCAACGCGTTATGGGCCTACAAAACCACACCTTGTACATCGACGGGAGAAACGCCGTTTTCACTATCATTTGGTTCTAAGGCAGTAGTGCCAGTAGAGATTGAGCTTCCTTCCTTGAGGGTAGAACAGTTCAGTCTACCAAGTAACAATGAGTCCATACAGCTCAACCTCGACCTATTAGAAAAACATCGAGAAACAGCGCGACTACGAATAGCTGAATACAAGAATCGAATAGCCCGATATTACAACTTGAAGGTTAAGAAGCGCGACTTTAAATAAGGTGATCTAGTCTTGAGAAATATCATGCCTAATACCAAGGAATCAACTAGT